TAGATCACTTTGATAATAATCTTTAAATGAAAGAAACGGTGTTCCTTTGTTGTGAAATGCTTTAAAAATTGTATTTGTTGTAGCTGAACAATGCTGTAGGTCAGACTGCAGTAACATATTGAAGTCAGGAACATGTTGTGTGCCATGGGTGATGTGTTTTTTTTATTTTTATATATATATATATATATATATATATATATATATATATATATATATATATATATATATATATATATATGTATATACATGTTTTGAGATGACATCCTTCATTGTCGAAAAATCATAATCTTTTGAACTCGTTGGTAAAGGAAAAGATTGTTACCGGTAACCCAGTATACAGCCCCAATTCCAAAATAGTTGGGACACTGTATCAAATCTACATAAAAACAGAATGCAAGGATTCACAAATCGCATGAACCCATATTTTATTCACAATAGAAAATATAACATGTCAAATGTTTAAATTGAGAAAATGTACCATTTTAAGAAAAAAATAAGGTAAGTTTGAAATTGATGGTAGCAAAAAAAAAAAAGTTGGGACAGGGCAACAAAAAGCTGGCAAAGAAAGGTACTAATAAGTACTAATAAGGAAGAGCTGGAAGAACAATTTGCAACTAATCAGGTTAATTGGCAACAGGTCAGTAGCATGACTGGGTATACAAAAGGCATCTTAGAGAGTTAAAGTGTCTCAGAAGAAAAGATGGGCAAAGGTTCACCAATCTGTGAAAAGCTGTGTCTAAAAATTGTCGAACTATTTCAGAATAGTGTTACTAAAAATAAAATTGCAAATACTTTAGGTATATCATCATCTATATATATAATATCATGAAAAGATTCTGAGAATCTGGAGAAGTCTGTGCGCCAAAGACAAGGCTGAAATGCAATATTGGATGCCAGCATGCGGCACTGCATTAAAAACAGGCATGATACTGTGATGGATATCACTGCATGGGCTCAGGAATACTTCTAAAATTCACTGTCTGTGAATACAGTTCTCCATGCCATCCGAAATGCAAGTTAAAGCTCTATCATGCAAAGAAGAAGCCATACCTGAACATGGTACAGAAATGCTGCTGTATTCTGTAGTTGAAAGGTCATTTAACCACTTACCTACTGGGTACTTTTACCCCCTTTCTTCCCAGGCCAATTTTCAGCTTTTAACTTTGAATGACAATTGCGTGTTCATGCAACACTGTACCCAAACAAAATTTGTATCATTTTTTTGAGACAAATATAGTTTTTTTAGGGTGGTATTTAATCACCATTGGGGTGTTTATTTTTTGCTAAACAAACACAAAAAGACCAAACAGTTTGAAAAAAAAGTTTTTCTTAGTTTTTCTATTATAAAGTTTTTTAAACAAGTGATTTTTCTCCTTCACTGATGTGCGCTGATGAGGTTGCACTGATGGGCACTGGTTAGGATGCACTGCTGAGGCTGCACCGATATGCGGCATTAATGGGCACTGATAGCCAGCACTGATAAGGCACTGACAGCCAGCACTGATGGGCACTGACAGCCAGCATTGATGGACGCTGCCAGCCAGCACTGGTGGGCATTATTTGACAGCACTGATGAGCACTATGCTAATAATCAGGGCACTGATGATCGGTGTAGATGTCCCCTCTGAGAAATGCTGCTTACTAGCTCTCCTCTCACGCTCTGTCAGCATGAAGAGGACTGCCAATAACCAGCAATTCCCGTTTACACAGAAAGTGTGATTGAACACAGCTGATCACATGGTAAAAGGCCGCACTGATTGGCCCTTTACTTTGATCCATGATCAGCTGTGTCCGAAGACACAGCGATCACAGATCACACCTGGTGCGCACCCTGGGGGGGGGGGGGGGCGTGGTTCTGGAAGGACCTCCATGGATGCCTTCCCAGAACTAGCCAACCATACTGTAGCCATGTTTTGGTTATAACGCGGTCAAGAACTGGTTAAAATGGTTTGTTGCAAAGTGGAAAACTGTTCTGAGGTCAGACTAATTGAAACTTGACATCCTTTTTGGCAGCCATGGACAACCATGGGCGCCGCATACTCTGGACTAAAGAGGAAAGGGACCTTCTGGCTTTTTATCAGTGCTCAGTTCAAAAGCTTGCATCTCTGGTGGTATGAGGTGCATTAGTGCGTATGGAATGGGCAGCTTGCACATCTGGAAAGGCACTATCAATGCTGAAAGATATATGCTGATTTTGGAGCAGCATATGCTCAGGCAAGAATGGGACAACATTCCTCTCCCAAAACTCCAGCAAATGATCTCCTCTGTCCCAGATTTGTACAAAATGCTGTTAAAGAAGAGGGGATGCTACACTGTGGTAAACATGGCCCTGTCTCAACTCTTTTGGAATTGGAGTTCTACTTTGCCAGCTTTTTGTTGTCCTGTCCCGAATTTTTTGAGATGTGCTTCTGCCATCAGTTTTAAAATTACCTTGGTACATTTTCTCAGTTTAAACTTTTGATATGGTTTCTATTTTCTATTGTGAAAAAATATGAGTTTGTGAGATTTGCAAATCATTGCATTCTGTTTTTATGTTTTACTGTTAAGCAAGGCAGATTGAGGTTGACCAAAGGAGCTCCAGTCATCTAACCAATATTCTCAGGGCTTTCAGATGTTATACAAAATCCCAGATTCATAATTTAGTCCTGACCCTTGGTATGCTACTTTTTAGAAAGGGTATTGATTACATTGTGTATTTAATTATAAGATCATAGGACCATATTTATTAAGAGAAGGCAAGGCTAAGTACATGCACATGCCTGGATTCTCCCGTACTGCTGTGTGGTTAAATATCCCTTGTGTTTTTCTGTGTATTGGTGCTTTTCTGGAACAGTCATATTTGTGGGGCCTGGGACTATAAGTGTTCATTATGGAACATTGACATTGTCCAACATGTTAAAAAAAAAATATTTAATTTTGTTCTGTAAATTCCTCACCACTCACTGTACTGTATAGTGGTTCTGCTTGTTTATGGACTTTCTTAGGTATTTGGTGTGGAAAGACAGCATACATAGAAGAATAGTGACGTCTTATAAGTGTTTGAATAGAGATAATGTGAGCCTGCATTTACTTTACAGTACAAGTCCTTTAAATGTCTGTTTGTATACCTCATAGTCCAGTCATTGTTTTATAACTAGCTTGAAAATATGCTCATTATACATACTGCATCATTTATCAGACAATGCAAAAATGCATTTGTTGTGCATATTTAGTGTCCGATCATGTAGGATTGTACAGTGATGAAGGCAGAACTAGAGAGGCACAATTATACCAGGGCTCAAAGTACTAATCCTTATTACTCAAGTAACTTATGCACCACTCCAGGCTGCTGCTCACCCGCATAACTAGTCACTGTACCACTGCTCCACAAGGGGCTAGCCTGGCCTGCCAGCCAGCAGAGAATAAGTCTGGATAGCTGCACTTCTTGATGGCTTTAGTAGTGAAAGCACTACATGGACATCATGCAAACAATGGAAGACAGGAGAAGCACAGCATATCATAAGCATCTGTCATTTTTTAAATACAGTACTGGTTTCAAATAAAAGATCAGTGGCAATCGTATAACACGTACAATATATGTTTAATAGTTCAGAATTAGAAAATGCATAAAGCCAAAAAATACAAAATAAAATGATTATACAAAAATATCCAAGACTTCTCAAATTCCACAAAATATCACAAAACATTTAAAGTTAGATTATCATCTGTCCATCCTCTGCAGTAGGAGTTCCTTAACCAAGAGTATCCATATGTATCATGAGTACGGGAACCAAATGATGGGGCATGGACCTGGATCTGAATATTTAAGACAAACAATCGTATCACTTAACTCAGATGTCTTTTTGGTATTGCTACTTGAAATGTTGGTGTACATCAAGTCCACATTTTGAATGCACATAAACAGAAACAAAAAACAAATCTATTTTCTGTAAATGTGACAAAATACATTCTTTCTGATTTTTTTTTTCAGCTTTTCTGTTCTTAGCTAGTTGTATAAAGTAAAATCAAGCTGTGGGGACATATTGGGCACAAAGTAGTGTAATATAATAAAGTAATGTAATAATCATCTGGTCAGATATCACAGAGTAAAATTCTGTTGCAGTATAATGGCAGCAGATGTAAACAAGTAGATTGCTCTCACTCAGATATCTCAGCAGATATAAATGTTTTTCTCAAAGATTCTGATCAAATATAGTTTATAATCTCAGACTCATAGTTAATATGTTAATTATTTTTTCTTAAAATCTTCCAATTCATACATCTTAAAAATGACTACAAAATGTTAACGCTTATATGAGATTTTAGTGTTTGGGACTCCATAATATTTTAAAGAGAATGTTAAAGTAACACTAAAGGTATTTTTTCTTACTCTAATGCCTGTGTAAAGACTTACTTTATTTGATGCCTCCTGATGTTCATAACTTCTTTCTTCCACCCAATTCTGCTCACCCCTTCAAGCCCTGGTGTCACTGTCCCACTGACAGTGAATCTAAGTTCTCTACCCTAACTATAAATCAGGATAGCAATGCTCTTTGGCGGGAGCAAGTGGCAAAGAATGGGGGAGTTTTTAAGTGTTTGACCAAACTGGGCAAATTACACTGCTTGCTTGCAGTGGATTAAGTTAAAATAAATACTGAGCCATTTTGCCCCTGAAATTTATTGTGCATGAGCGCTGTGGGCTGTGTACAGAAGAGTGGAAGCTTTTTAATATACACTAAATTTTATACTTCCGGTTGCCCTCAAAAAGTGCCCAGGAGCCATTCAGAGCTTCAGAGTGTACAGTACTGTGATAGGTTAACAGTATACGTCAGTCTATTCCTGCTGGGTATAAAAAGTCCACCAGTAATAATCAGCGTGACTATGTTTTAATGTATTGAATACCTGCTCATCTTGCAGGCTTGTCAATGTTTAGCAATTCTTTAACAATTCGTTTACATGGATCTTCAGCTTTGTCAAGTGATATTTTTTGCAAACATTATTTTGTTTTTTAATTTTTGCAGCATGGACGAACCCCTTTACATCTTGCAGCCCACAAAGGACATCTTAATGTAGTCCAAATCCTATTAAAAAGCAGGGTGTGAGCTGAACATACAGGATGATGTAGTAAAATCTCCTTTTTCCAATTTTTATTGCAATGATAACAGTTTCACCCAAACAGGAAGTGATATGAGCTCTTCAACATCAACACAGATGGAAATATAAATTCAAATTTTAATAGAGTAGGGGACAGCTTCTATCACTATCAGAGTTTTATTGCTGAAGTGTATAAACAAATCTGTATATCTGTTCAATAAAGAGTTCCAATTGCACCTAAGCTAGTGTCGTCTAGTCCTTGGGTGCAAGGCCCAGCTATACTACCTTAGTCCCATGTCCAGCGGCAAAGAAGCAGTTCTCTGATGGAGGAACTCAAGCGGGATGCCAGGTGAACTGTCGTGTGTATGTGTGTCTGTGTATATGTTTGTGTGTGTGTATGTTTGTGTGTGTATGTTTGTGTGTGTGCAGTAGTGTATTTACCACAAGGCAAACAAGGCACTTGCCTAGGGCGGCATTTTTATGGGGGGCAGCACCTCCCCGCAGAAGAAGGAGTGAAAGAAGGGACACATGCACCATGGGAATCAGGTGGGATCCGAGAGAGGCTATGGGCTGCTTTATGATGTATGTAGAGCCTGACTCTCTGACTCTCGTTCCCGGGGATTTCCGGAGCTGAGAAGATGAGTGTCTCTCTATTGCTGTTTGTGGTGTGTCTGGTGTGGGGGTGTGTGGACAGTGGAAGAGTGATTAACACCAGGGTTCTAGCTTGTAGGATAGCTGGAGGAATCTTAGAAGGGTGTGCCAATTGCTAGGCTGCTCCTCAACCCTTAGCGTGCACCAGATTGTATATAAGATTCGTATCTGCCTGTGTGTGGTCGGCCAGCTGGCTTGGAGTGAAGTCTCCCTCTAGTGGTGGCCAGAGGTAGTACGGGCTGTGAAATTATATCACGGCTGGTCTTATATATATTCAGATTAAGTCCCCCTTATTCCCTCTTAACCCAAGTCACTGCCGCACGTGCGTGCCTCAGTTAGCTAATCGCTGTGGGCGTGTGCGTGTGGGTAGAACCGTGATTGATATATATATATATATATATATACAGTGGGGATCGAAAGTTTGGGCACCCCAGCTAAAAATTTGTATTAATGTGCATAAAGAAGCCAAGGAAAGATGGAAAAATCTCCAAAAGGCATCAGATTACAGATTAGACATTCTTATAATATGTCAACAAAAGTTAGATTTTATTTCCATCATTTACACTTTCAAAATAACAGAAAACAAAAAAATGGCGTCTGCAAAAGTTTGGGCACCCTGCAGAATTTATAGCATGCACTGCCCCCTTTGCCAAGCTGAGACCTGCCAGTGTCATGGATTGTTCTCAATCATCGTCTGGGAAGACTAGGTGATGTCAATCTCAACGGTTTTAAATGCCCAGACTCATCTGACCTTGCCCCAACAATCAGCACCATGGGTTCTTCTAAGCAGTTGTCTAGAAAACTGAAACTGAAAATAGTTGACGCTCACAAAGCTGGAGAAGGCTCCTAAACACACCTCGAAATCCACGGGGGATTACATCAAGAGGCGTAAACTGAAGGTTTTGCCTTGGCCTTCACAATCTCCTGACCTCAACATAATTGAAAATCTATGGATAGACCTTAAAAGAGCAGTGCGTGACAGACAGCCCAGAAATCTCAAAGAACTGGAAGACTTTTGTAAGGAAGAATGGGTAAAGATACCTCAAACAAGAATTGAAAGACTCTTGGCTGGCTACAAAAAGCGTTTACAAGCTGTGATACTTGCCAAAGGGGGCAGTACAAGATATTAACTCTGCAGGGTGCCCAAACTTTTGCAGACGCCATTTTTTTGTTTTCTGTTATTTTGAAAGTGTAATTGATGGAAATAAAATCTAACTTTTGTTGACATATTATAAGAATGTCAAATCTGTAATTTGATGGTTTTTGGAGATTTTTCCATCTTTCCTTGGCTTCTTTATGCACATTAATACAAATTTTTAGCTGGGGTGCCCAAACTTTCGATCCCCACTGTATATATATATATATATATACATACATATATATATATACACATACAGTGGGGCAAAAAAGTATTTAGTCAGCCACCAATTGTGCAAGTTCTCCCACTTAAAAAGATGAGAGAGGCCTGTAATTGGCATCATAGGTAGACTTCAACTATGAGAGACAAAAAGAGAAAAAAAAATCCAGACAATCACATTGTCTGATTTGGAAAGAATTTATTTGCAAATTATGCTGGAAAATAAGTATTTGGTCAATATCAAAAGTTCATCTCAATACTTTGTTTTATATCCTTTGTTGACAATGACAGAGGTCAAATGTTTCCTGTAAGTCTTCACAAGGTTGGCACACACTGTTGCTGGTATGTTGGCCCATTCCTCCATGCAGATCTCCTCTAGAGCAGTGATGTTTTGGGGCTGTCGCTGGGCAACACGGACTTTCAAACTCCCTCCAAAGATTTTCTATGGGGTTGAGATCTGGAGACTGGCTAGGCCACTCCAGGACCTTGAATTGCTTCTTACGAAGCCACTCCTTCGTTGCCCGGGTGGTATGTTTGGGATCATTGTCATGTTGGAAGACCCAGCCACGTTTCATCTTCAATGCCCTTGCTGATGGAAGGAGGTTTGCACTCAAAATCTCACGATACATGGCCCCATTCATTCTGTCCTGTACATGGATCAGTCGTCCTGGTCCCTTTGCGGAGAAACAGCCCCAAAGCATGATGTTGCCACCCCCATGCTTCACAGTACGTATGGTGTTCTTTGGATGCAACTCAGCATTCTCTTCCAAACAAGACGAGTTGTGTGTTTCTACCAAACAGTTCTATTTTGGTTTCATCTGACCATATCACATTCTCTCAATCCTCTTCCGGATCATCCAAAAGCTCTCTAGCAAACTTCAGACGGGCCCGGACATGTACTGGCTTAAGCAGGGGGACACGTCTGGCACAGCAGGATCTGAGTCCCTGGCGGCGTAGTGTGTTACTGATGGTAGCCTTTGTTACGTTGGTCCCAGCTCTCTGCAGGTCGTTCACTAGGTCCCCCCGTGTGGTCCTGGGATTTTTGCTCACCGTTCTTGTGATCATTTTGACCCCACGGGGTGAGATCTTGCATGGAGCCCCAGATCGAGGGAGATTATCAGTGGTCTTGTATGTCTTCCATTTTCTAATTATTGCTCCCACAGTTGATTTGTTCACACCAAGCTGCTTGCCTATTGCAGATTCAGTCTTCCCAGCCTGGTGCAGGTCTACAATTTTGTTTCTGGTGTCCTTCGACAGCTCTTTGGTCTTCACCATAGTGGAGTTTGGAGTGTGACTGTTTGAGGTTGTGGACAGGTGTCTTTTATACTGATAACAAGTTCAAACAGGTGCCATTGATACAGGTAATGAGTGCAAGACAGAGGAGCCTCTTAAAGAAGAAGGTACAGGTCTGTGAGAGCCAGAAATCTTGCTTGTTTGTAGGTGACCAAATACTTATTTTCCACCATAATTTGCAAATAAATTCTTTCCAAATCAGCCAATGTGATTGGATTTTTTTTCTCATTTTGTCTCTCATAGTTGTGGTCTACCTATGATGCCAATTACAGGCCTCTCTCATCTTTTTAAGTGGGAGAACTTGCACAATTGGTGGCTGACTAAAATACTTTTTTGCCCCACTGTATATACACAGTATCTCACAAAAGTGAGTACACCCCTCACATTTTTGTAAATATTTTATTATATCTTTTCATTTGACAACAGTGAAGAAGTGACACTTTGCTACAATGTGAAGTACTGAGTGTGCAGCTTGTATAACAGTGTAAATTTGCTGTCCCCTCAAAATAACTCAACACACAGCCATTAATGTCTAAACCGCTGGCAACAAAAGTGAGTACTCCCCTAAGTAAAAATGTCCAAATTGGGCCCAAAGTGTCAATATTTTGTGTGGCCACCATTATTTTCTAGCACTGCCTTAACCCTCTTGGGCATGGAGTTCACCAGAGCTTCACAGATTGCCACTGGAGTCCTCATCCACTCCTCCATGATGACATCACGGAGCTGGTGGATGTTAGAGACCTTGCTCTCCTCCACCTTCCATTTGAGGATGCCCCACAGATGCTCAATAGGGTTTAGGTCTGGAGACATGCTTGGCCAGTCCATCACCTTTACCCTCCGCTTCTTTAGCAAGGCAGTGGTCGTCTTGGAGGTGTGTTTGGGGTCATTATCATGTTGGAATACTGCCCTGCGGCCCAGTTTCCAAAGGGAGGGGATCATGCCCTGCTTCAGTATGTCACAGTACATTCATGGTTCCCTCAATGAATTGTAGCTCCCCAGTGCCGGCAGCACTCGTGCAGCCCCAGACCATGACCCACCACTACGCTCGACTGTAGGAAAGACACACTTGTCTTTGTACTCCTCACCTGGTTGTCGCCACACACACTTGACACACCATCTGAATCAGATGAGTTTATCTTGGTCTTATCAGACCACAGGACAGTAACCCATGTCCTGTCTGCTTGTCTTCAGCAAACTGTTGCGGGCTTGCTTGTGCATCATCTTTAGAATAGACTTCCTTCTGGGATGACAGCCATGCAGACCAATTTGATGCAGTGTGCAGCATATGGTCTGAGCTCTGACAGGCCGACCCTCCCCCCACCCTTCAACCTCTGCAGCAATGCTGGCAGCACTCATATGTCTATTTCCCAAAGACAACCTCTGGATATGACGCTGAGCACATCCACTCAGCCTCTTTGGTCGACCATGGCGAGGCCTGTTCTGAGTGGAACCTGTCCTGTTAAACTGCTGTATGGTCTTGCAAGTATATACTTACTGTGCTGTAACTCCTTTTGTATCATATATTCGTTAGCTTTTGTGATTATTTTGGGATCCACCTGGTTACTTGCATAGATAGCTATTTTTACTTGCTGGTGCTGTCCGCCTTCTTAAACTTTATATGTTTCAACTACTGTTTGAGAGATCCACAAATTATAGTTAATAGTTTTATATCCATCTCTATTAAAATCACTTCTCTTAACTCTATCATTTCTGGAATGCTACGTTTATAGGGAAAAAAACATTTATAGGTAATTTTTCCAGTCAAGCTGCTTTATATTGCCAGCAAAACACTTTTGAAGCTACATATGGTGCTTCTAAATTGTAAATCTCTTTTTGCATTTTTAGCAGTGTAGAAAAAAATGAATTTGCAAGAAAAAATACGACACACTCAGTATTTTTTCCAGTGTTATAACAATACTTGTGGTTAAAACACAGTATGCAAGGACACTGGAATAGAAGTTTATAGATGTTTTTAAACCTGAATTCTAGGCAAAAATAAAAGGCACAGATTAATGCAGCTCTGTAATCATTTAATGCATCCTCACATGCATTTTTTTAAATGCAAGCAGTGTGTAAGCACCCAAATCTGACCTGGTATCAACTTCTTGCAGAGGGAGAAGCAGTACAAGGAACCAATCAGTTCATGTGCTGACAAGAAGCATGCTGATAGGAAGATAAAGCATAGAAGCAAAGAGATTAACTCATTACTGTGCTGCTTCTCCTTCCACTGTCCAGTCACAGGCTGGGTCTAAGATGATCTGAACACAAAGGAAGTGGGCTAAAAAATAATGTCCAGTGCCAGAAAAACAGCTATGGAGAAGTCTCTGGACTGAAGAATATTGCAGCAAAACTTGGTTTTATTTTAGGTTTTATTGGGCTATTTTTCTCTTCTTTTTGTCTGAAATTCCACCTTAAACTTCTGTTCACCTGTAATAACAGCTTCCAGATTAGAATGTGCTCAATTAATATTATTAATGTTTACAGGGTGCCTTTGAACAATGTTCAACTAGATTCTTGCAATTTGTCATTACATAACACCTATATACCTTTGGTATGCCTGTCATAACCCTGTCTGTCTCTCATGCCTACATGTTTTAACAAATTGGACTATTTTTAATTCCGAAGTACAAAAGGCAGTACAATTTGAATTTAGTGTTCAAAAAGCTAATCTGGTAAAATTAGATTTTTGCTTAGTCTGAAAATCTATGATGATGTAGCATCATGGACAAGCCACTATTGTAAGAGAGGAAAGTATAAAAAGAGCGGAATGTATAAAAAGAGCAGACATTGGCTATGGTCCTCATTCAGGAAGTGAAAGGTTTTGTCCATGTTTCTATAGAAAGTATGTAAAAAATCGTTATTAAAGCCTAACGTTTACCCAAAACAGAAGAAAAAATCAGAACAAGGGATATTACTTATCTTCATTGAGATGTGCCCCTTGTGCTGTGTTTTCCTTTCGCCAAAATCTTCCACCTTTGATGCCCACCCCTGTTGCCGTAATCTTCCAGCATGGTGTGGGTTAATTGAATGAAAGGCTGTAACAGGTTTCTCATCAAGAGTGCTTGAACATGTCTGCCCTTTTTGCCAAGCTCCTTCATCCACAGAAGCTATACCCCAACTTCTATGATTAAAAACATGATATATAAAATTAATGGAGGAAGTGAGCCTTTTGATCATCTGCCCATCTTCCATTCATAGATCCTGTTTCGACTGTAGAAACTGTAGTAAAGGCTTCTCTAAATGAAGCAGCTGGGCAGAATGGACAGGCATAGTCAGGCACTTTTGATGACAGCCTGTGACAGTCACTGTTATAGTCCTCTTGTGATGCTGCCCCCGCATCTTGGTGGTGGGGGAGGGGCATCGGAAGATAAATATGTCGCTGGAAGGAGGAGGGTACAATGGCACAAGAGACACATCTCACTGAAGGTAAATAATGCCCCTTTTTCTGATTTTTTTTTTTTTTTTTTTTTTGTTTACAAATAGGACTTTTGCTTTATTCTATGTGTTGCATAAAAGGACTTGATGTTAGACCTGTAAATCTGTAATCCCAGGATGTATGCCTCCTGAGATCAGTACTGAGTTGACTTTCCGAATACCCAGTTCATATGATAAAGTAGCTGTTTTTCATTAAGAGAATATATAGAATAGCAGAATCTCTGGGATCCTTGGGACAGTTTTAAAGGGAATCATGGAGGAAAGTGTGATAACTTTTGTCCAAAAGACAAAAACTGTATATGATCATATTCATTCATTGTCAACTTCTGAACCTCTTTTGTAACATGTTGCCAGGAACAGGGGCTTTAATGGGATTGTGAAAGATGATGCATTACGATTAGTGTTCCATGGTGAACTGTGGCCGTAGCCACACTGTCTAGTGGGAGGGGCTAAAAGGGGTAAAGTTAAACAGAACGTGAGCCTGCTCCGCGTATTCACAGTTCTCCTATACCATATTCCTTGTGCCCACAGAGTATTCTTTAGCCCTTTTGTTGCAAGAGCCATTTTTGTTTGTTTTTTTTTAGCACACCTGTTTAAAAATAATTTTAGGCCTCAAGATTGCATACCCCCCCCCCCCCCAAAAAAGTCCTGGAGATTAAAATTCTGGTAGTTCCAAATTTTTATGTCACACAATATTAGCTCAATAGTTTATCAAGTGCAACACTTCTAAAAGAAAAATACACAAAGTTTTTTGAAAAGATAAGTTCACATGTCGTGACATGTTACACCCATATTCAGGGTGTATACAAAAAGACCAGTTCCCACTCCCCCAAATTCTTGTTTTTATAGCTAGCAGGGGATCTCACCCCCCCCCCCCCCCCCCCCCCCCCCCCCGCTAGCTGCCATAATTTATTCTGTGAATGGGAAAACTACAAGTTCCGACAGCCTTTGTGGCTGACGGCTTTGTAGTTCTCAATGAACTACTATGACGCTGTTGAGCGCTGTTAGTTCATTGATTCTTCCTGTCTGTAAAACTGCCTGCCTGTACAAAGTATGAGCACACAGATACACTGACATGTCTGCAGGATTTCTGCATGGCACCAGCGGTCTGCTGATCGCTGGTGCAATGCTTTCCAGGCACAAAATAGTAAATGCACATTTTTTTTACCTGCAAAAAAATGTGCATGTGTTATTTTTTATTAAAAGGTGAATTTACACTGTGTGCACAATTATTAGGCAAGTTGTATTTTGAGGATTCATTTCATTATTGAGCAACTACAGTGCTCTTGGGCAAACCAAAATGTTAGTAAACCTGAATATATAAGAAAGTAAGAGTGAGGCTTTGGCGTTCTCAGGAGAATATCTGTGTGCAAAATATTGAGAAACTATTAGTGTGCACAATTATTATCTAACTAAATGACAAACAAACATTTTCCCATATCACTTGTTTATTTTCACCTGTTAAAGTGAGAATAATAAATAAACAACTCAAAATTTACAGATAAACATTTCTGACATCTAAAGAAAAATTTGACTAATATAGCCACCCTTCTTTTCATTAACAGTCATAAGCCTTCCATTCATGGAGTCTGTAAGTTTCTTGATCTGTTGACAATTAATTTTTTGTGCAGCAGCAACCACAGCCTCCCAGACACTGTTCAGAGAGGTGTACGGTTTTACTTCACTGTAAATCTCCCGCTTATGAAGGGTCCACAAGCTTTCAATAGAGTTTAGGTCAGGTGAGGAAGGTGAGTTTAGGTCAGGTGTTTACTGGCTAGTCATGTAGTCGAGTACTTTGCAGCATACGATGGAGCATTTCTCCTGCATAAATATCAGTCTTCTTGAAAGATGCAGACTTTTTCCTGTACCACTGCTTGAAGAAAGTGTTTTCTAAAAACTGGCAGTAGGTTTGGGAATTGATTTTGAGTCCATCTTCAACCTGAAAAGGTCCATCTAACTCATCTTTAATAATACCAGCCCATACCAGTACCCCACCTCCACCTTGCTGGCATCTGAGTCGAAATGGAGCTCTGTGCCCCTTACTGATCCAGCCAGAGGCCCATAAATCTGGTCCATCAAGAGTCATTCTCATCTCATCAGTCCATAAAAACCTTTGAAAAAATTTGATTTCAGATATTTCTTGGCCCAGTCTTGACTTTGCAGCTTATGTGTCTTGTTCAGAGGTGATCAGGTTTCAGCCTTTCTTACCTTGGCCATGTCTCTGAGTACTGAACACCTTGTACTTCTGGGCACTCCAGGTAGGTTGCAGTTCTTAAATGTGACAGTGCTGGAAGATAATGGGTTCCTGATAGCTTCACATTTGATCCTTCTCAAATATTTGGCAGTTAATTTGCATCTTTTTTTCTTAACACCTCTGTTGCGACCCTGTTGACTATCTGTGATCATACCCCAATGTCGTAGTAAATTTCAAGAGTGCTGCATCCCTTTGAAAAACTTTATAATATTTGACTTTTCAGAGTCAGTTAAATCTCTTTTCTGGCCCATTTTGCCTGGAGAAAAAAAAATTCCTAATAATTATGCACACTTTGATATAGGGTGTTGATCTCCTTAGGCTACACCCTTCCTCATTACAAAATACACATCACCTGATATGCTTAAATCCAATAAGCATTCAAGTTTATACAGCTTGGAGTTGGACAATATGCATAAAAATTATGATTTTGTCAAAATACTCACTTGCCTAATGTGCGCACAGTACCCCCCAATGCACCCCATATTTTGATAGAATGAAAAAGACAAGGCTGGACAAAGTAAATAAATACCCAACATGTCAAACCTTAAATTTGCACATGCCTGTAAAGTGACGACAAACTTTGGTATCCTAAATTTTTCAAGGCTTCTTGTCTGTGTTTATGTGCTGGTGAGGGGTCTCCGTTCATCTTCTGGTTCTCTACTGTCTTCTCAGTCTGATTCTTCAAAGAGTACACAATATGCAATGAAATACATACATGCATTAATTTAGAAAGGGCCTGTTGCAAAATCTTTTTTTCTCAGAGGGGCATTACAATCCTGTGAATGTATTTATTTTTATTGTGGCAGCTGATGCTTTCTGTAAATACATGTGTGTGAATGTTTGTTTGTTTTTTTTTACAGGGAAGCCAAACCGCCCTGCATCGGGCAGCTGTGGTGGGACATAGTGATATTCTTGCAGTATTGATACAAGAAGGTTGTGCATTGGACAGACAGGATAAGGTATTACAACTGGCTAGAAAAAAACTGGAAAAAAAAATAACATAACTATTTTACTAATTACTAAACATTAAAGTTTTACTAAACCCAGGACCCTGCATTCACTATATCTGGTCTCCCACAGTACACAGAACATGGAAATGCAGTTATTTTAGTAAATCTAAACTGCTAAATACCTTCTCTCATTAGCAGTATATAGCAGACTTCTATCAGTGTCCAGCTGAACACTGGTTAAAGTTTGTAGGAGGAGTTTTCAGTCTCCTTTCACTGCCCTATGAGATTGCATAATCCCTGACCCTCTGTCTGGACAGTGCTGATTGGCCCTGTGCTGATCACATGCACCTTCCCAAGAAAGAGTGCAGAGTGTCCCTTTAAAGTGTTACTAAACCCACAACAGTAAAATCAGTCTGTATATGCAGTAAAGCATGCTTGTTATACTCACTGTGGAACCTAAGGGGTTAATAATTTGCATTCTGCAAAAATGCTGTTTGATCCTGACTTCTCTGATCCTCCCCTTCTTCCAGTGTCTCTCTCTTATCTCCTGATAAGACACATCTTGTGGAGACACTGCACATGCTCAATTTGGTGTGTATTGCTAGAGAGGTTTTTTGTTTTGTTTTTTTGGAGAATGTATGTAATCAGCACTGCCTAGACAGAGGTCAGGGGTTCTGCATCCTCCTGGAGAAAACTCCTCCTACAAGCTTTAACCAGTGCTCTGCTGAACACTAATAGAAGTCACAATAATGCTCTAACTGATGATGACAAAAGGTATTTAGTAGTTTATATTTACTAAAATATTTGTATTTCCATGTACTGTGTACTGTGGGAGACCAGATATAGTGAATGCAGGGTCCTGGGTTTAGTAGCAACTTTAAGTTCCACAGTGAGTATAACAAGCATGCGTTACTGCAAATACAGAGTGATTTTACTGTTGTGGGTTTAGTAACTCTATAAATTGAAATGTTCTGTAATTCACTATAGCAAACCTTTCCATCTACAACATTGTATAGCGGCAATAGTAATAAAAGTGAACACTACTCTGCAGTTGCTTTTTACTTCAGAAACCCCTAAAAATGCAGCACATTCTAATATGCAGGTCTTGCCTTTCATGGCAAACTTTGAGAGCTGGCCCACCTGTCTTCAGCACCTAGTTATTAAGTATTTCCCATCATCTTTAAAAAGACACTGGGGGACATAAATCCTGTTCCTTCCTCTGCATCCTTTAAACAGCTGCAATCATCAGTTCAGTTGCATATTGTGACAGAGTTACTATTGTAGTGTTTATTCCATTCATTAATCTTTCAAAAAAATAAACTGTTGCAATATTGTGGGAGAAAAACGCATCCACAGAGCTGCTGACACTGCAGCTAAATTATCTGTCAGTGTGTGCCTCATTTCTCTTGAAATATAGTCTCAAAGTAAAGTCGCAAAGTAAGTGAAAAACCCGTATCCATATGACACTACTGTAGGTACACATGAAAATGAATGAAACAAGGCTGCTGATGCTGCAGCTTACCTGTCAATTTGTGCAAGATCTCCTCCAAGATTTCCCCCACGTTCCTGGACCCAGCTCATCAGCTGGGTAGTTCTTTAGTTCTTCTAATGTAGCTACTGATGTCTCCAGTAGAGTATACAGGATCACTTTCATGTCTCGTAAGAGATTGTGCACAGTCTGACAGGCAATGTACCTAAGTTTATCATCAGCCCTGTGGATGCATTTGTTTCACTTCTATGTCTAGGAAGTGATTTGACGCAGACTGACAGACATTTAAAGTGGAATTTCAGGCTATTACTAACTAAGATTAAATGTGCTCTGACACACCTTCTCACTCATATACTAACCTGTAGATGGAAGATGCTTGTTCTTGCCTCTTCTCAGGGTGCTCCTGTCCATTCACGTGATCCCTCCAGCAGCCAGCTTCAGGAGAGAGGAGAGATCGCTGACAACAGATGGACTGCTTCGATGGTGATGTCACCTATAGGGTTACTATGGAGTATCTGTTGTCAGCTGTCCCTCCTCTCACCTGAAGCCGCTGCTGGAAGCCAATCACATGATTGGCCCAGAGCAATCCTTAGAATTGGTAAGTATAAGCATTTTCCTTCTACAGGTTACTTAGTATAGGATTTACAGTTGCAAGAAAAAGTATGTGAACCCCTTGGGATTATGTGGAGTTTTGCATGAATTGGGCATAATATGTGCTCTGAACGTCATCTAAGTCACAACAATAGAAGAACACAGTCTGCTGAACATAATACTATACAAACATTAGATGTTGCCATGGTTTAATTGCACATAACATGTAAACATTCACAGTGCAGGGAGGAAAAAGTATGTGAGGCCCTAGCTTAATGACTTCTCCCAGAGCTAATTGGAGCCAGGAGTGAGCCAACCTTGACTCCAATCAGTGTGATGATATTAGATGTGTTGTTGACAGCTGTCCTGCCCTTAGAAAACACACACCTGTTTTGGGTTTACTGGTTTCAAGAAGCACTGTCTGATGTGAACCATGCCTCGCAGAAAAGAGCTCTCAGAAGACCTACGATCAAGAATTGTTGACTTGCATGAAGCTGGAAAGGGTTACAAAAGTATCTCCAAAAGCCTTGATGTTCATGTGTCCATGGTAAGACAGACTGTCTACAAATGGAGAAAGTTTAGCATTGTTGCTACTCTCCCTAGGCGTGGTCGTCCTGTAAAAATGACTGCAAGAGCACAGCGCAAAATGCTGCATGAGGTAAAGAAGAATCCCAGAGTGTCCGCTAAAGACCTACAGAAATCTCTGGCACATGCTAACATTATTGTTGACACATCTACAATAAGGAAAACATTAAACAAGAATGGAGTACATGGGAGGACACCACGGAGGAAGCCATTGCTGTCCAAAAAGAATATTGCAGCACGTTTGAAGTTTGCAAAAGAGCACCTGGATGTTCCACGGCACTACTGGCAAAATATACTGTGGACAGATGAAACCAAGATTGAGTTGTTTGGGAAGAACACACAACACTATGTCTGGAGAAAAAAAGGCACAGCACACCAACATCAAAACCTCATCCCCACTGTAAAACATGGCGGAGGGAGCATCATGGTTTGGGGCTGCTTTGCTGCCTTAGGGCCTGGACGGATTGTTGTCATTGATGGGAAAATGAATTCCAGAGTTTATCAAGACATTTTGCAGGAAAACGTACAACCATCTGTCCGCCAACTGAAGCTCCGCAGAGGATGGGTGATGCAACAGGACAATGACCCAAAGCATACAAGTAATTCAACAAAACAATGGCTGCAACAGCACAGAATACGCCTTCTGAGTGGCCCAGTCAGAGTCCTGACCTCAACCCGATTGAAATGCTGTGGCATGACCTTAAGAGAGCGATTCACACCAGACATCCCAAGAATATTGCTACACTGAAACAGTTTTGTGAAGAGGAGTGGTCCAAAATTACTCCAGATCGTTGTGCAGGTCTGATCTGCAACTACAGGAAACGTTTGGTTGAGGTTATTGCTGCCAAAGGAGGGTCAACCAGTTATTAAGTCCAAAGGTTCACATACTTTTTCCTCCCTGCACTGTGAATGTTTACATGTTATGTGCAATTAAACCATGGCAACATCTAATGTTTGTGTAGTATTATGTTCAGCAGACTGTGTTCTTCTATTGTTGTGACTTAGATGACGTTCAGAGCACATTTTATGCCCAATTCATGCAAAACTCCACGTAATCCCAAGGGGTTCACATACTTTTTCTTGCAACTGTAGAAGGTGTGTGGGACCGGTTTTAGGCTTAGTTAGTAATAACCTGGTGTCACGTTCTGGGGTCAGCTTCGGAGGCCAGTGGCTGTAGCAGTAGAGAGGTAATCAACTGGAAATGTACAAGAAGACCCCTCTAACAGATGATACGGGCTCACCTGAGGTGTGGGGTCCATGCACTGCCCAGTATTCACCAGAGCTCCTGATGGTGGAGATGGATTTTGCTTTGTGGTAGTACCAGGTCACGGCCCTCAGGATTGCCCCAGAAATCAAGCAGAAGCCAAGTCAGTAAACAAACCAAAGTTCAGTAAATGGTAGCTGAATGGGATCAGATAAAAATGCAGTCGATGAACAAGCCAAGGGTCAGCAACACGTAGCAGCTGGATGGGATCACACAAAAGCATAGTCGATGAACAAGGGTTGGTAATGGGTGGTAGCAAATACATGGACACCAGTAGGTATGCAAGGGAGCAAGCTATCAGCTGAGCAAGCACAATATTTTGGCAAACAGGAAGTGCAGAGAAATGGCTTAAATCAGGATGTTCATCGGAGACGCAAAGGGCGCAAGGTTAAAGAGAAACAAGTCATGAGGCAAGGCTATCTAGAGAATCAGAGAACACAGTCCTGCATCCCTGATGGTGCAGCAAGAAGAGCCACATCCGGACACTGCAGAGGTTGCAGATTCAGACCCAGGTCCTGACACCTGATCATCCACTTTAAGCAGCAGCTCTGTGGATACATTTGTCCAATTCATGCAATTTGCTTCCAACTAACGCTCAATCTACATTGAGAGGTGTAACTTTATTGCTTGAATTTTGTTTGAAATTAGCATTTACTGATGCTGCTCTTGCTATAGAAATTCATTATGCCTTTTGTCAGCAGCTGTCCGGTAGTTTTCTTCACCCTCTTACACTTTCAGGACTTTCAGAAGCTTTCTATAGTGGGTCCAGTACTGGCCACAGTGTCACCATGGTGACTGGCTGCTGCCTTCGATACTTCTAAAGCTTGAAGCTTTGTGTGTGGGAGCGTGGCTGCAAATTATCAGTGATAGCAGTGTGTCTGATGGTCAGCACAGGCAGGAAAAACCTAGCTTGTTCCCAGTTTTTGTTATTTTTGCAGCTTTACAGTATTTTTGGATGGACATTCCTGAAAAATAAAAATCTGATACCTGCCAAAATATGTTGACTTGTTCAACTACGGTATATTCCTAAATTTGATGTCCATATATCTTCAGGGAAAGTCACTCAACCCTTAAGCAGGT